TTATCTTTATCTTTATCTTTATCTTTATCTTTATCTTTATCTTTATCTTTATCTTTATCTTTATCTTTATCTTTATCTTTATCTTTATCTTTATCTTCATCTTCATCTTTATCTTTATCTTTATCTTTATCTTTATCTTTATCTTTATCTTTATCTTTATCATTTTCTTTATCATTATCCATATCTTTTTCATTATCATTGTATGTTGTTTTGTCCTGTCCCTTAACCCCTTTCCCCTTCCCCAGCGGCAATAAACCTTCAATGCGACCATTACATTTCTGTCCACGCATTCATAACAAGTGATATTTATACATACATACATACATGGGTACATATCTATGTATATGCCCATTTGTTAATGCTTTTCAGAGCTGGGCACTTTATGATTACGATTACATTTTGATTACTTAATTGTAATTATAACATGCTTGCTTGCGAATACTTACTATCATTAAAATTCAACGATTACAATTACTGTAGCAGTAATCGTTCTTTTTATGATTACGATTATAGTAATCGGGATGTATTTTTAGGAGAAGGTGTTTTTCATGACAGAAATATACTCGGAGTTTGCATTGCCTGTCGAGGAGCGGCCGCTTGGTTAACAATTACGGGATTGTAGTCATGTTTTCATGAATACGATTACAGTCTCATTTTCGTTGTTGGTGTTTCCGACAGGGTAGGAGTGTGATGTAATGTGGAACGACTTTCCGTCATCCCTTGTCAAATTTGGTTTGTCTCCAAACGTCACGATTACAGTCCTTAAATTTTTAAATTACAATTATTATGATCATAATGGTAATATTTATGATTACTATTAAAGTAATCGTAATCGTATATAAGCTTAGGATTGCAATAAAGCAATCTTAATTAAAATGTAATCTTAATCAAAAATTACCCAACTCTAATGCTTTTAAATGATTTTTTAAATATTGTGAATGAATTCGAACCAAATTTAAATACAAAATACACACCGCTAACGCACCAGATTCACTCATGTTCAAAATTGTGTACGAAGCCAGTTTAACCACTTGAATATGCTCCAATTAATATCAAAAACTTGTTCATCAAGATCATAGTACGAGTAGGTATGTAGTAGATTTATGGAAATTTGACCGGCACAACCAAAAATTACACCCACAAACATGTCAGCACGCATAAATACATATATTTGTGACGAAACACATGTAGTAGGTACAAACATAGTGAAATAATAGGTAATTTCGAAAAATGCCAAAACTACAATATTTCCTTAATTACAGGAACCAAATTGCTAAAAAACTGCCATGTTTATTATTATAGTTTTGGAAAATGGACATGGGATATATTGCTAGCTTTAAACATCAATTTGCTCAAAACATACGTTTAGAACAGTGTGCAAGCTTCTACCACATGTGTGGTAGATCAACCACGTATTTTTTTTTAAATTTGGGTGTCTACCACATCTACCACACAAGGCTTAAAATCTACCACATTTTTAGACAGAAGATTTGTTTACAATTTTCACATAACTCTAGAATTTCAACTCAATTGTAATTCGAAATATAAAAATTAATCAATAAATTTTTAAAAAGGTACATCATAAATTTTGCTTTAAATATATCTGTGCCTTAACTTTCTAATATTTCAAAAATACGCCTATTTATATTTGCTAAAGTATTATGAAATGGGAAAATAATTTGGTCGATTATTTTGCATACAAATAAAATATTATTTTCTTCATGATTATATTCTCTAACTAGAAAACTAATGTTATACTTGTTTTTGCACCAATTGCGTGGAATCTGTACGATCCACTAGCAATTATATTTCCCGATTTAATTTTTGAGTTGTGCTTCTTTTGACAACGGTGTGCGATATGTATACCCAATAAAATATGAATTGGAAAATCTACCACATCTTATTCAAATCTACCACATTTTTTTTTGATTCTACCACACTAAAATAAAAAGGGGTCTGCACACAGATTTGTTAAATCTTTTTTTGAGAAAAGTTGATAATTTGCAACTTATTGTAAATGGTAGAAACCACCACAAACCCACAAATCAGGTTTTAGAATCTTTATTAAATGCTTGACCCAATTGCGAAGAAAAAAGTACGAAGAAACTTGTATTAAGAATTTTTATAAATAAATAATAAAATGTATATATCTAAAGTTAGAAGTAGAAGCGCTTAAATTTGTTTACTTATTTTAACATAGATATATAGGTATGTACATATGTAATAATTTCTGCACATACCTTTTATTGGTACATTGGTAATACTTATTTAGAAAGCTGACAATTTTCGAAACAGAGATGTAAAAATCGTTAATAATTAACATTTTTCATAATGACATTCTTGGCAGAAAAATATTTCTCTAATTAATATTTTCATTTATTATAAATATTTATACAAATTTAAGTGAAACAAATTAATGATAACGCTCAATAAACTATTTTTCGTGTTGAAATTTTGAAATCTTTTCAATAAAATTCAACCTTGCGTATTTTTCAGTGGGTTTTGTGTATTTAGAATATTTATATCGATTGATTGGTACTGAATGAATGTGTGCACACATAGCAAAAGCTGCATTCATCTGAATGCTTATTCAGTGTTAAAAGTTAATGTTTCGTCATTAAGTTTTTTCAATCTTTCTTTGAATATGTTAATGTGTGCAATCATATCTACTTTGAGTGAATGTAGAATTGGAAAATTATAAGCCACATTCCCCAACAAGGAAAAATTCAATGAAAACATAATAACATAAAATTGATGATTTTTAATTTCATATG